TTTCTTGGAAACCCAGAAAACCTCACAGACCTGGGCCTGTGTGTCTGCATGGCACCACAAAGAGCTAGAGCTCAGGGCCGCTGCCCTTTCCAGGCCAGCCCTCTGCTCTCTGGGCCTACATAATGGCGAGGCATCCTTCGCACAGCTCCATTCAAACTTCCAGAAGCCTTCCCTGACCTCTGCGTTAGGTGCCTCCTCTGGGCTCTGCGTTTACATACACCATGTCACATATCACACGGCAGGCCCGTGGCCCTCTCCTCCCCAGAGCTCTGGGCCTGGCCCGCAGGAAACATCTGCTGAGGGACTAGATGGATAGTTCCAAGGGGAAAGTTATTTTGTGCCCATTTCACGGAATGATGAAACTAAGGTGTAGAGAAGTGATCCGTCCGCTGCCTCTCTAAGACCAGGGGTCACTAATATAAGAATCAAGATCCTGATTAGGTCTTTGGATGCTATTGTGGGTTGAGTTGTGTCTCCTCCAAAAACATGCTTTTGAAGCCCTAACTCCCGATACTTGTGAGCATGACATCCTTTCAAACTGGTTTCTCTGCAAGTATAATCTAGTTAAAATGAGGTCATTAAAGAGTGGGTCCTAATCCAATATACCAGTGTCTTTATAAATGAACATAAACATGGGGTGCCTGGGTGGCTCGGTCAGTTGAGCATCTGGCTTCTGCTTAGGTCATGATCTCAGGTCCTGGGATGGAGCCCCACGTTGGGCCCCCTTCTTAGGGGAGAGTCTGCTTCTCCCTCTCCCTCTGCCCCTCCTCCTGCTCCTGCTCTTTCTCTCAAATAAATAAACAAGCAAAATATTTTTTTTAATGGACATAAACACAACACTCTGCATCCAGGGATTGATGATTTCCTAAAGCTGATTCACGGTGGGTCCCCAAGTTCCCCACCCCAATCCCACACTGGGTCTGCTCTGCAAGGTGGTGCGCTCACATGCAGGATGGCCCTGTGGTCGGTGCTCTACTCCTGGCTCCTCTGCTTGTTGGTGGAGCCTCCCTGGCTCTCCATTGCTTCCCCGTCTGCATGATGGGACTAATAAAGCCACCTGCCTGACTACAGGTCTCCCACCTGTGGCAGGTACGGTCAGGAGGAAGAGAGACCCTCAATCCTGGAGCAGGTCCCCGGGTTATATTATTCTGGGTCTCACTCTTATAAGTTGCTGAACCCATACTCGGGTGACTTCCAGTGACCACATGACTCTTTGTGACCTGACAGGGACCAGAGAGCCAAGTACCTGTTCCATCCCGAGGAGGGGGAAGGAGATAGCCCCTAAGTGTGGTTTCAGCTTCAAGCCTCTACCCTGACCACACACACTGGGAAATGATAGAAAATACCGATGTGTGCTTCCAGCTGAGACTCTGATGGGGGCACTTGGGGGCAGGACAGAGGCAGCAGGTCTTAAAAGCTCCCAGGGGATCCTAATGGCACCAACATCGGGAGCTCCTGGGGTTAGACTAGTCACTGTTCCCTACAGCATGAGACAAACACAAGACCGAGGTCTTGAGCCATACATGTGCTTGTTCATCATGGCCTTACAGCCTCCGACTTGAGAGGAGCACTCCTGGGCCCTCCTCCTGCCCACACAGTACATTCCTTAAATGTTCACTCTCTTGTCTCCTCATGGAGGTCTCAGGGTCTCTGCACATCTCTTATTAACTGTTCAACTCTACGGGGTGTCTGGGGATCCAGGAGCTGTTGCAGAGCGGGGCAGGGGTGTGTCCAGGGTGGAGGAATGGGCGGCTGGGTGCCTCCAGGGCTCAAGGGTGATGTGGGGTCTGTGAGCTGAGTGTTCACATCATCAGTGTCCACAGCCTCTTCCAAACCCCCAACATATAACCTCACGAGCCCACAACAGTGAGGGTGTATCTGCATCAGAGCAATGGCCTGATCCCAGGTGTCCACCCTCTCCTTCCATAAAGGGTGTCCTTGTAATGCTTAGCCTTTGAGAGGCAAACCTTTCTGAAAGGCTTATGTTCTCTGAGTCTTTGAAAACTGGAAGCAGGAATCACAGTTCATGAGACTAAAGAGGGAGAGAAGCTTTTGGAGTCACAGAGAGCTGGTTTCATTCAATTAATCAAGCTAATTGATCAAGCAGGTGTGCACTTCCAGCTCCACTCCTGCCTCCTCATGCTTCTGGGCTCCGCTGGGGCTGGGATCTTCCCAAAGCACTACTTCAGTTATGAACCACTCCCTGCTCCAGAACCTGCAATGGCTCCCACTGCCCACTGATTAATGTAGACTTCCCACTCAACAGTCAGCACCTCTGTGACCTGGCGCTGGCCCCCGGTCCCAGCTGTCCCATGCCCCTACCTTCCCTCTTCCTGGCAGAGTCTGTGACTATATTCCGGGCCTCCCTCCCTCCTCCTTCTCTGCCTAGACTCCACCAGGGAAGATCTGTCTGTAGTTCTACTCCATCAGACTGACGTCCTCAAAGTCCTGAGGATGACAGGTATTCGGGGGGTGGGTGGGGGGTGTGACTCCTTGAACGCACTGTTTCCCTGTTCTTGTCTTTTCACCATACACATCCATCTTGTCTCACCCCCATCCAATCATCTAACAGAAACTTGCTGAAAGCCTACTATGTGCCAAGCGTCTTGGTCCACCCAACCCTGATAGATTCCCTTTACTGGGCATAGCCTGGCCCATCCCATCCTAGTCCTCTGGAAGCACCCAGAAAGAAAACCTACACCCTATTCCACTTGGTCACCAGCACCCCAGGCCTGGGGCCTGGCACAGAGCTTGGCACAAGGCAGGTACCCAACTTTTGCCGAACAAATAGATGGAGGCATTAACATTTCCCCATTAAAACTGTCCGCTGCTGATGTGCGGGGACAGCAGCTGGGTGACCTGCACCTGGTGGTCACTCCACTCTCATACCACATGGTGAGCACTCCCCACGGCCAAGCACTCAGTGCTGCAGATAAAGAGCAAAAGTTCCCACTCTCGTGGTTGATGAGGAGGACAGAGCAACATCAGAAAGCAATGCACCCTGGTGAGACCATTTCCTGGAAGAAGCAGAAGAGATGACTCATCTTTAGATATGTCCCCCGTCCCTTAAAGCATGTCCTTCTCAGGGTGGAGCAGTAAAGGAGGAAACCCCAGCAGCTGTGAAAAACTACCCAGCCCCAGATTTGAAACTCCGTGCTCCTCCTCCTAATAATGGTGTATCCTGGGCAAATTATTTAATCTTTCTGAAGTTTGATTTCCTGATCTGTAAAAAGAGGAATAACAAACGGGGCCCACATCCTGGACTAGTAAGGATTCACTCTAATAAAGTGTGCAAGTGGCTGGCACACAGCAGGTGCTCAACAGACCTCTGCGTCTCTCCCCCTGTGATGGCAATCGTGTTTCTGTTCCTTGCAACTCGCTCGGAACTGGGCATGTAATCAATGCCCAGATATCTGTTGGCAGGAATACAATCACCACACAAAACTTGAGAGTAAACAAAAAAGAGACAGGAAAAAATAAAAATAAAAAAGAACCCAAGCTCTGTGCAAGCTCTGACTATATAGATGGTGCAAAGCCCTGTTTATTTTGTCAGGTTACCATAGCAACTGCAGAGGCTCCAGCCAGCCCGGGGGTTAGCAGTGATCAATTTATCTCGTAACCATGGACACAAGCTGTTCAGTGGGATCCAGAGGGGGCAGGCAGAGACAGACGTGTGTGAGCTCCTCTGTGCCCTCCAAATAAATCTGGTGAAGCTGCTCCACTTATCCTGTAGCTAAAGTCACCACGGTCTAAAATGATGCCCGCATGACAGTTTTTTATAAACATGGGCTTGGGAACAGGCGACAGAAAATTAGGCAAAAAAAGACCAGTGTAGCTGACAGAAGCAGAGAACATTTTGGAAAATTAAACAAGCGGCTGCAGAGAGCTGGGATCTGGAGCCGCCCGGGGGATCCGGCATCCGTCCATGACTGTTCGGGGACTCGCTGTCCATACAGCCTGGGTTTGGCTACTACTTTTTCAACAGGCTTCCATCGGGGTGAAATTTGGGGGAGGGAAAGGGAAGCGTTGTCTTAAAATCCACTCCCTGGAAAATTAAACAGCAGCAAGTGGGGCTTCTGGCCCACATGCAGGGGATGGAGGGGAACTCCGGTGGCCTTCCTACCTCTGGGCTCCCAACATAATCGACTCAGAAGGTGCAAGATCTGAGTTGATTATGGGGCTCAGACTGGGGCTTTCTTCTCCTAGAGGAAACGTGGCCTTCCCTGGAGCCAGACTGTCCCCGGCGCTGGGCCCCCGGAGAGGCCACAGGCAGCCCCGCAAAGCGCAGAGCCAGCGGGTGTCTGTCTGCCTTTGTTCTAGCTCAAGAGCTGAGCCAAGAAACGTAAGGACCACCCAACGCTCGTAACTCCAGGGGGTCCTCCCTCAGCGAGGGCCCAGTGAAGAGAGGTCATCTGTGTTTTCCTGCCATCGGCAACCTGTTCTGTGCGAAGGGAAGACTTAGGGTCGCGTTGGGCACTGGTGGCTACAGGCTCGGCACAAAGCAAAAAAAAAAAAAGGATAAAAGCATCGCTGCGCTCTGGCGCGCGGCTGGTCACAGAGGGGGTCTCACCTCCTTCCTCAGGCTGCAGGGGCTGCGGTCTAGGGGACAGTGGGGGGGGCGAGGTCTCCCGCGCCTCGGGAAGATGGGGAGTGGACAGCCAGGCAGCCCGCCCAGCCGGGTTTGCACGGATCTGGGCTGCACGGCCTTGGGGGCGTCCTGGGTCCTGCAGGGGGACGGCAGGGAGGGGCCGACCCGCACCCCTAGGCCCCTCGCGCTCTGGGAACCGGTGCACCCGGGGCGCTCCCGGCGCACGGCCCGCCCCACCCCCGGGCGCCGCGCTCGTCCGCCTCCGGGTCGGGGATGCCCGGCTCCGGACAAAGGACAGGGGACGTGGAAGCCCCGCGGCGCCACCGCCCGGCTGGAAACCTCCGGCGAGCCCGTGGCCCCGAACCTCCCCAAACTTCGCAGCCCAGGGCGCGCGGGGAGGGCGCCCCGTTACCTGCGCGGCCATAAAGGACAGATCCATGGTGTCGCCGCTGCCGCCCGCGCGCGGGTCCTCGCTGCTGCACCTGCTACACCTGCTGCACCTGCCGCACCTGCTCTTGCTCCTGCGGGTGCAGCCGCCGGCACAGCTGGCCCCGGACTCCCCGCGCCGCCGACCTCAGCTCAGCAGCCCCGGGTGGCGGCTTCACCGGCTCGGCGCGCTCGGCTCCAGACCCGGACCCCGCAGAGGCGGGGGGCGGGGCGGGGCGGGGCTCGGGGGCCCCCACGTGACCACCCAGCCCCACCCCGAGGGCGGGGCCCGCCGGAACCCCTGCGCGCCCCGGCTCCCCTCCAGCACCGGGGGCCCGGAGTGGGGAAATTGAGGCCGGGGGTCACCCGGCCGGGGTGGGGGGAGCGGGAGCCCGCCTGGACCTCCAGCACAAGGCGATGGCGCCGCGTGGGGCTGGCCTGCCTTGCTCCCAGGCTTGGGGATCAGGGTCAGGGACCAGCCTCTTGGTGTCCTTCCGGCCCTGGAATGGGGCAAAAAGGAGGTTTAAAGGCGAGCTCGGCTTGTTCTGCATTGCCTTGCCTTGCCTCACTTTCCGGAGCAGAGCTTCTAGGTTCCCTAAGAGTAGTGAGAGCAGACAGCTGCTAGCATTGCTCCTCACCAAACCCGGGGGAGGAAGGGGGGGCGAGACCTGCACCGGCTGGACCTCGCACCCCTGCACCCTCGCGGCTGGGTGAAGACTGTGCTCCTGGGGGTGGGGGGCGGGGAGGCATCCCTGGGCATCTCACCTGGACATCTCACCTGGCAGTTGCTCCGCAGACCTGAGGTTTGTGCACTTACCCGCATGGCAGGCCTGGACTTGCTTGGGGGTTGCACCCTGACCTCTCCAGTACTCAGCTCTGAAAACAGGACAGGAGGTGGGAGGGTGACAGACAAACGTCTGCCTCTTTGCTTGTTTTGGTTTTATTTTTTGAAACCCAAACTTCCCCCTCCCCTCCTGCAACACCTTGTAGTCAATACCTATATCAGACTCTATGTCCTTAAACAGGTATCCTCTCTGAGTCCCAGTTCCCTCATGCACCCCAATTCCTGAGGGCATTCTTCTTTAAAAATATTTCATTTATTTGAGAGAGATTGAGAGCAAGAGAGATCACAAAGGCAGAGGGAGAAGCAGACTCCCTGCTGAGCAGGAAGCCTGAGGCTGGGCTCGATCCCAGAACCCTGAGACCATGATCTGAGCCTAAGGCAGCAGCTTAACCCACTGAGCCACCCAGGTGCCCCCTGAGTCCATTTTTAATGCCTATTATGTCCTGACCCAGAACCAAACTATTTAACCACAATGCCCTTGAGGAAAGGAAACATTCTCAGGTTGCCACACTCAGAGTAACAAGAAGGAACAGAAGATTTAAAAGGTTGCCAACAACAGCTTGAATGGAGGTATTCAAATCATCCATTGATGCATGATTTACGTAAATGTACCTATTGTGCAGATCCAGGTGGATGGGTCCTGGTACATATATACACCCTTGTAACCAGAACTATAATCAAGATGTAGAACATTCCACTCACCCCCAAAAATTCCCTCTTGTTTTCCTTGTAGTCGACCTCTATCACCCACCTCCAACCTCAGATAAGATAGGCCATTCTTATCTATCACTAGAGATAAGATTTGTCTTTTCTAGATTTCTATATAGATGGACTCCTACAGATTGCATTTTTTCCTTGTCTGACTTCCTTCTTTCAGTGTGAGGTTTTCAAGAGTCATCCGTGGGGTGGCACATATAGGTAGTTACATTTTGATTGCTGAGTAAGTTTGCTGTGTGGGGATGGACCACTCTTGTTTGTAGCTTTTCTTCTGCTGATGGACCCTTGAGTTGTTTCCAAGCTTTTGGCCATCAAGACAGAAGTGTTGAACATTCGAGATGCCGAGGTGGCTCGGCGGTTGAGCGTCTGCCTTTGGCTCAGAGAGTAATCCCGGAGTCCTGAGATCAAATCCCACATCAGGCTTCCAGAATGGAGCCTGCTTCTCTCTCTGCCTATGTCTCTGCCTCTCGTTCTCTCTGTGTCTCTCATGAATAAATAAAATCTTTAAAACAAATGTTGTTGGACACTGGGGTACAGGTCTTGGTGTAGACATCTTGTTTCCATTTTCAGATTGGAAAGGCTTCCTTGTGTGTTTGTAATGAACTGCCAAATTGTCTTACAAATTGCTCATACATTTCGCATTCCCACCAACAGTGTGTGAGAATTCAGTTGCTTCACGTTCTTACCAACACTTGGCATTGTTGTTAACGGAAGCCGTTCCAGTGGGTGTAGAGTAGTGCTTCATTATGGTTTAAATTTGCATTTTCCTGATTGATGATCTCAAACATCATTTTCACTTGCTCACTCTTGGATATTTATCCCTTTTCTTTTGCAAAGGGTCTGTTCTACTCTTTTATAAACTGAAAAAAAAATTAGATCAATTGTCCTTTTTTACTATGGAGTTGTAGGAGCTCCTTACGTGTTTTGGAAACAAGTTCTGGGTCAGATATATATACTGCACACAGTCTCTCTGGGCCTCTGGCATTTTTCATTTTCTTAATGGAATTTTGTCAAAGAAAAGTTCTTAGTTTTGATCAAATCCAGTTGGTTTTTTTTTTTCTCTTTTATGGTCCATGCGTTTTGTGGCCTAAGCAATCTTTGCCTACCCCAAGGTCATGAAGATTTTCTTTGTGTTTTCCCCCTAAAGTCTCAAAGTTCCTGCTTTTATGTTCAGGTCTCTGATCTATTTTTGCTTTTATATGTGGTATGAAGGAAAGCATAAAGCTCTTTTTCTTTTTTCCTTTCCCAAATGAGTGTCTGATTGTGCCAGCACTGTTACCTGTTATGACTACTTTTTCTCCATTGAGTTACAGGGGGTGAACCAGGACTAGATTTAAGACACAGACTTTAAGGTGGCACTCACTCTCAGGTGCCAATTCTGCACTTTCGTGACCCTGGGAGTGAGTATCTCCTTAAATTTTGATTTCCAAGCACTTTGTTCACCTCCTCCCATGGACTAGTAAGTACCTCACAAGCAGATGTGCATGTTGGAAATACCACTCTGTGGCTTTTCCTTGGCCACTTCATCCAAGCGTGTGATGATCCAGGGAGGACACCAGACCTCTGCCCTGAGCTCCAGATGGGCACATCCATCTGTCTCCTCAGCAACTTCTGCTGGATGGCTAATGGCATCTCAAATTTAACCTGGCCAGCACTGGGCTCTGATTTCCCCCTTCTGTCTGGTTCTATCACAGGCAGATAATGACACTTCCCAAGTCCTCCAAGAATAATTCAGCATATTGTACACTGCACAAGGGTGCCTGGCAGACAGGCAAGTGGGGGGTTAAAATTCAGCCATGCTCCTCTTGCAGAATTTTGTGTGTGTGGACAAGGGGCTATGTCTACCCAGAAAGCTGAGTATCTTTGCTCTTTTCCCCAGAGCCCTCATCAGGGCCAGTAGATCCAATCTTCTTCTTCTTCTTCTCCTCCTCCTCCTCCTTCTTCTTCTTCTAGATTTTATTTATTCAGAGAAAGAGAGAGAGAGAGAGAGAGAGAGGCAGAGACACAGGCAGAGGGAGAAGCAGACTTCATGCAGGGAGCCCGACGTGGGACTCAATCCCAGGTCTCTAGGATCACACCCCAAGCTGCAGCTAAACTGCTGCGCCACCGGGGCTGCCCAGATCCAGTGTTCTGACTCCTTTATACCCCACTAACCTTCTCATTCACTGTGATTCCCTACAGGGACACAGTCATTGCTCTTCGTTCTGCTTTCGGCTGGCTGTCTTTCTCCAGATATTCCTTTGATGGTTCAGGTTTCTTTCTTTCTTTCTTTCTTTCTTTCTTTCTTTCTTTCTTTCTTTCTTTCTTTCTTTCTTTCTTCCTTTTTCTTTCTTTCAAGATTTTATTCATTTATTCATGAGAGACACACAGAGAGAGAAGCAGAGACATAGGCAGAGGGAGAAGCAGCTTCCCCTCAAGGAGCCCCATGCGGGACTCCATTCCGGACCCCAGGATCAGGACCGGAGCCAAAGGCAGACACTCAACCCCTAAGCCATCCAGGCGTCCCTGATGGTTCAGGTTTCAATTCAAAAGCTACTTCCTCCAGGCCTTCCCTTACCTTAAGTAATCTATCCTAAAAAAAAACAAAAAACAAAACAAAAAAAACCCCAAAAAACCAGAAAAACCTTATTTTTTTTCATAGCATTTTTCCATTTTTTAAATTTATGTACTTGTTGGAGGAGCAATTTGCCAGGGCCCTGAGCATCCCAAGTTTTAAGTCGCCTGCATACTCTGGGTCCTGGCAGTTTGGAATGGGGATAGAGGAAGTAGATGTATCTATGCATGGTCTACTTAGAGGATTTGGGTCCTGGGAACAGTCTCCAGACTGCCCTTCTGCCGAGTACTGGTGTAGAATCCATGTTTGCAGAGAATTGGGGATCCTGTGAGGGGAAACATTCCATTCCTGGAATGGCTTTTGGCCTGAAGGCCACAGCAGGGGAGCCCAACCCCAACATTTCGCCTCATCTGAGACCTAGATAGAGAGGGCACAGGGCCACAGTGACCCTTGAGGGCATGCCCTCCTTTCCTGGGAGGCCCTTAAAAGGGTTTAAGAATTCATGAGCTTCTCACTGAGTGACTTGATCAATTATTCAAGGCACATCACAGGGGCAGAGATGGCCTAGGACCCACCCTTCCTGTAGCGGACAGAGAAAATCCAGCAGTGGTGGAGGCAGCAAAGTGCACAGGAAATCCTGCTGTCCTTTGAGGCCTGTCTCTACTCTCCCTCCTCTGTCGACCTTTGCTGCAAGACACATTTTTTTTTCTGACCATTTGAATGCCGCAGGATGATCATTTCAAAAAGTGATCCCACCAGTGTCTGGATTATCAGGCAAGTGCCCCCTGAATCTCATTCTCTGGAAGGGGGCATGCATTTGAGATTATACATGCTTCCTGAATGACTCTGATGCCGGCTCATCTTCCTCTAACCAAAATTAAGCCTTCTCTTCCCCAGCCCTCCCCAAGACTCTGTAATCAATTGCAATTCAGTGCTGTTCCATTTACCAGGTGTTTTCTGAGTACTGACACTACACTAGGCATAGAATCTCACATACATTGCTTCCAAAGCTTAGAAAACGCAGCCTCAGAGATGTTAAGAAACTCACTCAGGTGGCTCAGCAAATATGGGCCAAG